TGACCTCAATTCCCCCCTGTTGTTTGTCCAGAAAACTATAAGGAATAGAAACAAACGGTGAAGCCTTTTTTCTATTAGTATAAAGATTACTTGAAACAAAAGGACAAGATGTAGATTTAAGCATTGCTCCAACCATTCTCAGGACTTCAGTGAAGCCTTTTTCCGTCTTGCTAAAGCTGCTAAGTAGTGCTGCTCTTTGCATTGGGCATTGGTCTTTCCACATTTTGACTCTATCCCAGCGAAACTGATTTCAGAATTCTGAGCTTGGAACCTGTACAATAATAAATTTGTGCTGTTCTAAGTCAATATATTTATGATAACTTGTTTTAGTAGCAATAGGAAAACAATAATGTGCTAAGGGGTTAATTAGAGGAAAATATAAAAAATGTTTCCTCATAATGCTGCTTGTTAGGGTTTACTTCCCTAGAGATATTCGCTTGAAATACTTTGAGAGCTCCTACTAAACCAGGAAAGACGATATTGCCAACCTTAGATGCCAAAATTGTTTGGCATCAAAATGAGTAGTAAGCCCAGTAGAGGGCAAGAACTTTCCAGAGCAGGAGCGGAGAGAAGATATCCTAAAAGTTTGCTCCTCTGTAGTCATATATACAGGAAAGGGCTCTAAAATCAAAGCTTTCTCGGCAATGCTGGTTGCTTTGGTTAGGTTGCAGTTTAGCTGCACTTCTTACTGGCTAGAGTTTCATGCTGAGAAGAATGATATTTTCACTTGATGCTTAAGGCTGAGGATATTGCTGTTACTTATTGGTACAGTACACTGAGTCCTCTCCACCTCTGCAGAGGTAAACATCAGGTTAAGTTGCACAGCTTGGGACAAAGATTGGTTGAGGAAAGAAAATATATATTCAGGGCTGGAAAAAGCGTCCTTGTCTGACCTGCATTTGAACCCCTGGCACCGTATATAGTCTCCCACAACCCTCCAGGAGTAATCCCTGAGTGCACTCAGGATTAACCTCTAAACACAGCCTGGTGTGTTCCACAACTTGTTCATGTTTACGGAAAATCTTTCTGAAAGGGTATTCTCCCGTGATGGAAATTTGGAAGGCTAAAGTACCTGAGAGAAGAATGGTATAGATTTATGGGACTCTCTTAACACAGGAGTCTAGGTGGATACTGAAAGGGACCCTAGAGGGAATGGATAGGAGTGGAGCTTAGCCAGAATTGAGGTTTCATGTTGAGGGCAGTGGGAGACAAGGCTGAAGTATAGGGCCTGCTGCAGATACGAGTGCCAGAGGAACTAGGAGTCATACAATAATGACTTGGAATAGGACTGTAACCAGATGCAATTCATTTTACAGATAATGCAATGGCATAATTAATAGAAACTGATAATTGGTTAAATATTTTTGAGTGACGAATAGGTAATGCATGTTTGTGAGTCTGGCCTATCAGGAGAAGGGTCAAAATACTGATGGCAAGAGGGAAGGCTGTCTGGGGGTGTGGTATGGTGGTGAGAAGTGAAGAGATGACTTGGCTGAACAAGTAGTTTGGCCTTTCCTTAAATGTCGGGATTGGATTCAGCTTCCTTATTGCCCACAGGAGAGAACTTTGTATAGAATAGGTACTAAATCCATATTATTGGGGGAGATCAATGATGGTTACAGGGTATGACATATACAAATTATCATTTCAGACTTTTAAGATAAGGCTATCTTCTGAATTGCCATGCTTTTTCTACTTGGACTTTCTGAAATCTAGGTGTTTTCTTATCTATATTTTCCTATCCATTGCAGACATCCATTGAAATGGCCCAGGCAAATCCAGGTGCCTTTCAGTTTTCCTGCCTTCAGAATGTATTTCTGCTAAACCCACAAACAGGTTCATAGCAGTTTTTTTTTCTCTTCAACGTAATTTATGCTTAACTTTTTCTTCGTTTTTCCTCTGAACGTTATGACCATGGCCCTGGTTGTAAACCCAATTCTCATTTCTTAGTCACTCAAAGAAACCAGTGAGATAGTGCTGGATGCTAGTTAACAATTTTTCAGTGGTGACTTTAACCCTACAACTAAGCAACCTAAGATTCCTAGGAGCAGATAAAACCCATACGCAATCTGTCACTGTTTAGTTTGCATGGCCAAGATAATTTTATAAAGTTAATGAATAGCTGGGATGGGGTGGGTGAGAGGCAAAGATAGAATGAATTAAGAGAAACTGTAGTTCGGTGGGAAGCCTCTGTTTTGCTCCTTGGAAGGGCACTGAACCTCTTCAGGGTATGGTTTTCCTTATGACCCTCAGTATCAAAGTGCCTTTGATAATATATTTACTTACTTGCTTGCTTGCTTGATTGATTGCTTTTTGGGCACACCCAGTGATGCTCAGGAGTTACTACTGGCTCTACACTCAGGAATTACTCCTGGCAGTGCTTGGGGGACCATATGAGATGCCAGGCATCGAACCCAGTCGGCCTTGTGCAAGCATCCTGCCCACTATATCGCTCCAGCCCCTCAAAGTACCTTCCGGAAGGACTTCATTTCTGCATCTCTGAGCTGGACCTTCACAAGTCTCGGCCCTCATTTTTAGGACATTATGATTTGAGTTATGGACATAAATATATTCCAGTCGAATTCAAATATTCAATATGATTTAGATCACATATGCTTCCTTCTCTTCTACTCGTTCCTGGTTATTTCTAGAGTGAAATGTACCTAATTCACTGAGAACTGATGCTCAAATGCCTGTTTGCAGATTCTGATGAAATCAACCTGATCTCACAGGCTGAGTCAGAGTACCTTGCAAACTAACTTCTTTGAACCTCAGTTGCTGGAGGGCCAATATGTGTAAATTTCTTATTCCATAGTCTCTTATTACTTGTCATATTATCAGCTTAATAGAAATTACTATTAATACATGTAATTATAATTTTTATTTATGCTCCTCACTTGAGTAAGAGTCACCATGGAAAGAGATGGTAAAGGTAAAAGGTAAAGGCCCTCCAGTTGATCGTCGATTTGCTCGAGAGGGCCCGGTAACATCTCCATTGGAGACTTTGTTGTTACTGTGTTTGGCATATCAAAGACTCTCGGTAGCTTGCCGGGCTCTCCGAGAGGGGCGGAGGAATTGAACTCGGGTCGGCCATGTTGGCCGCTTGTAAGGCGTATGCCCTACCGCTGTGCTATCACTTGAGTAGTAATTTTCCTATAAATCTGAGCATTTAATTCTGCATAGAGGGTCACACTAGTCAGTTGCCTATGAGATGGATTTGAGGGACAACAAAGAATTTTCCTTCTCAAATTTTCCTTTTCTACTGAAACTCCTGTTCTTTTTTTCTTTTAATCAGCCCTGGAGGGGGGTGGAGTGGTGGAGGCGGGGCACCTTCCAATCACAAATGTGCTATTATTGTCTGTGAGTTTCTTTTAGTTTTCTCTGTTAAGTTTCTTTTTTTTTAAGGACCATATTATAAGCAATGTATTTGCAATTTTTTCCCTCTTGTCCTTTGGGACCTCACAACTATCAGGCAAACACTCTACTACTGAGTTAGCACCCTCAGCCTAGAAAATGGCTTTATTTGGTGGATCACATTTGTCAGTACTCTGGGTCTATTCTGGGTTTGATGCAAGAGGAACGTAACTGGTTCCAGGAAGAGAGACGCAAAACATACATTCAGGCTTGCATAGTTATTTTTCATAGGTTGTAGCATTTCATAGTTTGGTTGTACTATAATGCCCAGTATTGATTTTTCCAAAAGCTGCTATACAGGTATACAATTTTTTTACATTTCTGAATGTTCCGTACTGGATTTTTGTGTGAGGACTTTCATTTCTTTAAAAAAATCAATGAATTAGTTTACAAGATTACAGAATTTCAGGGAGTATAGTTTAACAACTTTTTGGGCTGGAGCGATAGCACAGCGGTAGGGCATTTGCCTTACAAGCGGCCAACATGGCCGACCCGAGTTCGATTCCTCTGCACCTCTGGGAGAGCCCGGCAAGCTACCGAGAGTATCTCGCCCATACGGCAGAGCCTCACAAGCCACCCGTGATGTATTCGATATGCCAAACACAGTAACAACAAAATCTCCAATGGAGATGTTACTGGGCCCACTCGAGCAAATCGATGAACAACGGGACGGCCTCGAGGGCCTTCTTAAGAGAATAGAATAAAAGGCAGCCATCAATAAAAGGTCCAAGTGACAAGGGATGTTTTATTTATTTTTTATTGTTTTTTTAACTGTTTTTTGCTTTTTGGGTCACACCCCGCGATGCACAGGAGTCACTCTAGACTCATATACTCAGAAATTACTCCAGGCAGCACCCAGGGGGACCATATGTGATGCTGGGAATCGAACCCCGGGCGGTCGCCTGCAAAGCAAACCCTCTAGCCCCTGTGCTATCGCTCCAACCCTGACAAGGGATATTTTAGATACGAGTCCATCTCAATATGTATCTGAGTGTCACCTAAACAGGGTTTTTAGTACTGGAAGTAAAGGATGGGATCAAAAGCACCGAATCAGTCATCTTGTCCCAGCTTTCAATCAGCAAATACTAGTGGCGCACGTAATCAGCATCCCAGGCGTAAAGAATATGGTCGACGGCAACAGACGCATTTCGCACTTCAGGTTCACAGGCAGAAGGTAGGGACTAGGAGGGAAAAAAAGTGTGGCAAAGTCAAAGTTGCCGTGAGACACGGCCCGGTTCTAGTGCGCATGCGTTCCTCGCCTTATGTCCCAACATGCCTAATCTCTTCCGGTTTGAATTATCTCTTCCGGGGCAGCTCTAGTCCAATGGGATTGCGCGCTGAAGCCGGGCGACCGTTAAACGGCTTTTCCCAGAGGTCGTTACATCCGCATCTTGGAGCGAAACCTGTGGAAGATGAAGTAAGGCTCCGGTTGTCCTCCGTGGAGTGTGGGAGGTCGGGGCTGGGGGATTGGGATGCGGGGCGGGAGGAGCTGAGGGAAGTGGCGGGGTGGGGGGCGAAGCGTTCGAGGGGGCGGGGGTCGCGAAGTCCGGACGGCGCCGAGACTCACTCTTCCAGGGGACCCCTAGTTGGGCGCTCTCGGTCGCCGGGCCGTTTCTTTACTCGGTGGCAACTTCTGCAGCCCGTTGACGAAATTGAAGTTAATCAACGACCTCAAGGAGCGAGGGGACCAGCTGGGGGTGGCGGAGAAGGTGTCCTGGCACACCGAGTACAAGGACAGCAGCTCCTGGATCTTCCTGGGTGAGTTGTGCCGCCGTGCGCCTCGGGTTCCCCGCCGCCTGGCTTTCGAGGGAGTGTTTCAGCCTTCCGCCTCTCTTCTGCCGTTATTCCACTCCTCTCCCTGGCTCTCGCGCCGCCCCCGCCCCCCCCCCCCCCCCCCACAGTTCAGGTGACACCCAGCGATGGTCAGACGTCACTCGGGGCTCTGCATTCAGCGGTTACTTCTGGCGGTGCTCACAGAACCTATGGGATGGTCCAGGGATGGTGCCAGGGATCGAACCTGGGTCAGCCTCATGCAAGACGACTGCCCTACGTACTACACGAGCGCTCCAGCCCTGCCGGCATGTATTTCTGCTTCTTTTCTTGGGGGCCACACCCGGCAGTTCTCCTGGGTTTCTCCTGGCTCAATGCACCAGGATCACAACTGGCAGTGTCTGGGGAATATATGGTATGCCAGAGATGGGACCCCCGACATTGGCCACGGGCAGGGCAAGCGCCGTACCCACGGTACTATTTCTCCAGCACCCTTATTTCTGTTCTTTTTCCAGGTTTTTATTTTTCCCTCATTTCCTCCCCCCCACAATTACCTCTTTCTCTTCCCCCTCTCCATTTCCTTTGTCACCCCCTCTCCCCTCTTCTCCCCGACCCTTCATGTCCATTTTCCTTTCCCCTGTCCTCCTCTACGCCTCTCCTTATCTCCTTATTTTCCTCTCCCCCTCCCCTTGTCCTCTCCTTCCCCCTCCCCCATGCTCTCCCCCTCTTCTTCCCACGCCCCCTGCTCTCCCCATTCCCTTTCCTCCTCTATTTTTTTAATGTTGTACAGTTTTATTTATTTTTAATTTTTAATTTCGATAGCACAGCGGGTAGGGTGTTTGCCTTGCAAGTGCCCAATATGGCCGACTCGAGTTCGATTCCTCCGCCCCTGTCAGAGAGCCCAGCAAGCTACCCAGAGTATCTGGCTGGCTCGGCAAAGCCTGGCATGCTCCCCTTGACATTTTCAATATGCCAAACACAGTAACAACAAGTCTCACGATGGAGACGTTACTGGGCACACTAGAGCATATATCTATGAACAACGGTGGGACAGTACACTTCAGTGCTTCTTTTTGGGTCACACCCGGCCTTGCACAGGGTTACTCCTGGCTTATGCACTCGGGAATTACTCCTGGGACTATATAGAATGCTGAGATTTGAACCCGGGTTGGCCATGTGCAAGGCAAACACCCTACCTGCTGTGCTATGCTCCAGTTCCTGTCCTCCCCTTACCCTTCTCATCCTCTTATAATCCTCTCCCTTGTTCCTTCTTCGTTTTCCCTTCTCCCTATCATCCTCTTTCCCTCTCCTCTTCCCCTTCTCTCCCCTCCTCTTCCCCTTCCCTTCACTGATTTACTCTCTCTCTAGCCTTCCCCCATGCCTCTCTTCACTTCTGACTTATTCCCTCTCCCTTTACCCTTCCATCTTCCTCTTTTTTGCCTTCCACCACCCCTCCCACCTCTGCCGCTTTCACTTCCCCATGCCCTCCCTCTTTTCTTTTTCCTTACCTTCCTCTTCCCTTTCCACTTCCCCCTTTCCCCTTATCTCTTCCGCCACTTCTTGCTCTTTCCTTTCTCCTCCCATACCCCTCACTCCTATCTTCTTCCCCCTGCCCCTTTTCACTTTCCCCATCCTCTCATTGCTTTGTCTGGGACACATTCCTAGCTGCTTTGAAAAATCTCATAAGTTATACTAATAAACGCATTTATAGAGGTAGGACATGTTTGAATGAGGATTTACATTTGTGAAATGCTTAAAAGTTTTCTTTATAATCCTTAATCTGTGTGAGGTAGGGTTAATATTTATATATTCAAACTGATTTTGCGGGGCAAGGAGATAGCGGGTTAGGACCTTAGATTATTAAACTAGGTCTGATGTCCCACAGCACTAAAAGCACTGCTCAATGCTTCAAGAGGTATATCCTTGGTGGGCCCAGAGCACTGCCAGGTGGCACTGGAGGTTCCCCAATCTGTAGTGTCAGTGCAGCACCACATCCTTGAGCCCTTCCACTGAGTTGTCTGACCCAATATCCACGGAATTGTCCCTGGGTTCTGTTTGTAAGGCCCCCTTGCAGACATTTGATTTTGAAGGTAGCTATGGTGGATAATGAGCAGATAACTTGAACAATTTTTTTTTGTATTTTGGGCACAGTGGTGCTCAGTCTTACTCTCCAATTTGATGTGTGCTAGTACTGTGCCATTATTCTTTCATGTTGAGAAGTTTTTAGTTTGAGGTCTAGAGAGGCCTTTTAAAACCAGTTCCTCTACTGTTTCTTTGATTTTTATCTTGAAATACTGCTTATATTTCATGTTCATGTATTTTAAACTTTCATTTCAAAACTAATACAGAAAAATTATAAAATGTAAGGAATGCCACTCTATCCCCTTAGCCAAGTCCCTGTCTATTACTATAGTATCTAATTGTTATTACTATTTTTACCTGTTTCACATTTTCTGATTTTACTAAATTATCTTAGAGTCCATTGCAAGACATGATTTGTGTGTTTGGACCATACCTGGCGATGCTCAGGGATTACTCCTGGCTGTGCACTCAGGAATTACTCGTGGCGGTGCTTGGGGTAGCACATGGGATGCTATGTGAACCCTAGTCACGAGGCAAGTGCCTTGTGCTGCCCTCCAGCCTAGTACCAAAATTCTTCAATTTGTTTTTTCAAAAGAACAATGCCATCAGGAAATCAACTGTCATACAGAAGTATTATCGAACCTTTCTGTTTTATTCAGTTTCACCTTCTGTCTCAAAAAGCCCTTTGTTGTTTCTGGGCCTTACCCAGTGGTGCTTAGGGGCTACTCCCAGTCCATTGCTCGGGGTCATTCTCACTGGTGCTCAAGGGACCATATGTTGCTGGTGATCAACCCTGGGTTTCTAGAATGCAGTGCAGTGGTAACAGCCCTTTGAGTCGTCTCCCCAGCTTGCTGATAATCTCTTTAGTGTAGCAGAAAAATTGCTTTGTAGTCCTTGATCTGTCATGTAAATTATAAAAATCTCTTATTCTTTTTTATCTTGCCAGAAATTTCAGGGTTAAGTGCTTGTCTTGCATGTGGTTGATTCTGTTTTTTTTTTTTCTTAAATTTTTATTAGTGAAACACCATGAGGTACAGTTGTAGACTTACAAATTTTTGTGTTAGGGTTTCAGTTATACAATGATTGAATACCCATCCCTCCACCAGTTCACATTATCCACCACCAACAGTCCCAGTATCCCTACCACCCCCACCCCCCTATCCCACCCTACCTCTGTGCTAATCCCCAGCATCACAGATGGTCCCCTAGAGTGTCTAGAATGACCCCTGAGCATAGAGCTAGGAGTAACACCCGAGCACCACTGGGTATTTCTTTTTTCTTCCTTTTTGGGTCACACCCGGCAATGCACAGGGGTTTCTCCTGGATTTGCATTCAGGAGTTACACCTGGTGGTGCTCAGGGGACCATGTGAAATGCTGGGAATTGAACCCAGGTTGGCCACATGCAAGGCTAATGCCCTATCTGCTGTGCCATCACTCCAGCCCCATTCCTAGTTATTCTTATGTTAATTTTCCCACAAGAATGTTGGAAACAACTTACTCTACTTCAGGGAAAAAAGGTGTGCATTTTAAAACTGGAATGAAGTTTATATATTAATTTTGAGAAGGATTTTTAGTGTTTTGATTATGTTTGCATATCCTAACCAAAAACAAAGGATATTTTTCTGCCAATTTTATTTTTATAGAATTGTTCAGAAGAATTTATTACATTCAGTATTCCATCACCAATTCCACCACCATTACACCTTCTCACCCCCATTATTTCGGATTGTCTGACCACAACTTAAGCCTGCCCTCAAACCAAGTACTGGATAATACATTTTGTATTGCTTGTTATGAATAATGCATTAAAATGATCCAAAAATGTTTTCTTATTTGTATATGTGTGAAGATTTTTGTATCTCACCTTAGAGCCATTAAGCCCAACAAGGGATATTTTTATATTTTTATATTTACTTTGTTGTTATTTACTTAAATCTATGTTTCTTTGAGGAGTTATAAAAAGTATTACTGAAAGTACCATTTATATTTTATTTTTCTTTTGGTGTGATACCTGATGTTGCTCATGGCTTATTCCTGGCTCTGTTATCAGTGTCCCCTAGTGTCAGGGCCCAGAGCCCATATGTCATACCAAGGATTAGGCCAAGTCTGTCACATTTAAGGCAAGCGCTTTGACCCTGTACTGTATCTCCAGCCCTGTTCAAGTCCATTTTCATTATTTATTTATTTACATTTTTTTGTTTTGGCCATATTCTGCGTGCTCCGGGTTTATTCCTGACTCTGCATTCAGGAATTAGACCTGATAGTGCTTGGGGGACCTCATAGAGAGGATAGAACCCAGGTGGGATATGTGTAAGGCATGTGCCCTACCCACTGTACTCTTTCTCCAATCCCTCAAGTTTATGTATTTATTTATTTTTGTTTTTGGTCCATACACGGCAGTGCTCAGGTGTTACTCCTGGCTCTGCCCTCAGAAATTTTTCCTGGCGGTGCTTAGGGGACCATTTGGGATATCGTGGATCGAATTTGTGTCTGACACTTGTAAGGCAAGTACCTTCCCCACTGTACTATTGTTCTGGCCCCTGAAGATTTTTTTAAATTTTATTTTTATTGCTAATTATAAATGTGGTTCCTTCTCCATTATATATTTCTAACCAATCACTGTTTGAATTCAAGAAAGTGGTTTATCCAAGCACAAAAATTTATAAGTCTATAACTATACCTCATGGTGTTTCACTAATAAAAAAATTATAAAAAAAGAAAGTGGTTTATTTGTAACTATATCCTAGTTTAAAAAAATTTAATTAGGCATTGTGATTTTAAGTAAATTTTGGACTCTTAATTAGGAGTATTTTGGGTTTTCTATAGTACAATCACATATAGTCTTCAAACGGATACGGTTTCACCTTTTATTTCTGATTTATATGTTTTCTCCTAATTGCATTGGCAGATAACAGTACACTGTAACACCGTCCTCCCGTTGTTCATTGCTTTGCTACAGCGGGCACCAGTAACGTCTCCATTGTGGGACTTATTGTGACTGTTTTTGCCATAACAAATACGCCACGAGGAGCTTGCCAGGATCTGGTTTGCGGACGGGATACTCTTGGTAGCTTGCCAGGCTCTCCAAGAGAGATCGAGGAATCAAACCCGGGTCGGCTATATGCAAGGCAGATGCTCTACCCGCTGTGCTATAGCTTCATCAATTAAGTAGGTAAATGTTCTTGGCAACACTTGAGCTGTTTTTTGTACTTTTTATTAAAGATTCTAGGTTTTGGCAGAAATATGTGTCTATGATTATGTTTATAATGTATTCATCATTTTTTTTTGTATTTGGCCCTATCCACTGATGCTTGGGAACTTTTTCCAGCTTGGTGCAGGGGGAGTACTTCTGGTGGTACCTGGGGAAGCATTTGGTACCAGGAATTGAGCCTAGGTGTCCCACCTGCAAAGCATATACTGAACTCACCACTGAGTTTTCTGCTTGCTGTTTTCTTTTTCTGACTCTATTAAAAATATTAGGTTTTTGTTTTTGTGCCTCACCTGGCAATACTCATGGCTTTGGGCTCAGGAATCATACTTTGTGGTGCTTGAAGAATGTATGAGATGCCGGGGATTGACCCTGGGCCGGCCTTGTGCAAGGAAAGTACCTTACTAGCTGTACCGTTGTCCCAGTGACACCGAGATCTGCTCAGGGATTACTCCTGGCTTTGTGCTCTGGGATCTCTCCTGGGAGTGATTGAGTATGTTAATTTAGGTGGGAGGCATGAATTTTGAATCTTAATTACTATCTGTATATTTAAACCTTTTACCTTTTTAATTGAATCACTGTCAGATAGACCCTTAAAAAGCTGTTTGAGATTAAGTTTCAGTCGGTGTTCCAACACCCATCTCTCTACCAGTGTATATTTCCCAGCACCGGTGTCCCCAGTTTCCCCTCCCATCACCCTTCAGCCCCCACTCCCCAGCCTTCATCTATGGCAGGCACTTTTCTTCTCTTCACTCACTGTTTCAATGGGACATTTCTTATTAACTTTTTTGTCTTATTTAGGAATGCTACACCAGTGGTGCTCAGGGATCACTCCTGGTGGGGCTCAAGGAATGATATGGGGTACTAGGGATTGAACCTGGTTGACTGCATGCAAAGCAAGAGCTCTACCCACTGTCGTGCTTTAGCTCCCTCCCTATAAGTTTTTATAGTTAACCTTCATTTGTCATCTGGTTCTAGCTTTGTCTTTATAGTCAATATTTAAGTTTTGTTTGCCATCCATTCTGAACATTTTACTTCAAATAGTGTCTTTTTTGTTAAATAGATATGGTGAGATTGTTAACATAAGTCTGGTACACAATAAGAAGACTGGGAAATCCAAGGGATTCTGTTTCCTTTGCTATGAAGACCACCGGAGCACAATTCTGGCTGTTGACAATTTTAATGGCATCAAGGTAAGTAAAAGTATGAAGCAGGATTTGGCGGAATGTTTCTGATGGAATGGTTTGGTTTTATTTTTCCCCTGATTCAGAGAGGCCCAGGGGCCACCAGGATGAGACTATAAGAGTTTCAGGGGTGTGGGGAAATTGTTCTAGGAAGCAATTACATGGGCCTGTGCCCCAGTCAGCATTTCTTTCTTCCTCAGTATTAGCTATTCCCCCACCCACCCAGGGAGGCCTTTGTTTCTTACCTTTCCCTCCTCACCACTGTATTTCTCCAGCCCAGGAGAGTGACTCTTAGAGAATTTGTCACTGATTGCACCAGTAATAAGTAGTTACGAGGACAGCATGGAATGGGGTTATAGGTTTTCATTTTATGGATCCTATATTCAAAGTCAGTCAAAGAAGGGATGGTTTTCAAAACATGTTTTCCCTCTTTGGGTCATACACAGCGATGCTCAGGGTTACTCCTGGCTCTACACTCAGGGAATACTCCTGGCCTTGCTGGGGGAACCATATGGGATGCTGTGGATCGAACCTGTGTCGGCCACGTGCAAGGCAAATGCCTTACCCTCTGTGCTGTCACTCTGGACCCTCAAAAATGTCTTTATTTATTTATTTATTTAATTTGTGTTTTGGGTGACACCTGGGGATGCACAATGACTCCTGCTTCTGCACTCAGGAATTACTACTTGCCTTGCTGGGGGGACCATATGGGATGCTGGGAATTGAACCGTGATTCGCCGTGTGCAAGGAAAATGCCCTATCCTCTGTGCTATCTCTCCAGGTCCTCAAAAATGTTTTTCAATGGGAAATGTGATAGATGATAAAAGGTGGATTAGACTGAAAGTAAAACTAAAATCAGACCTTGTATTGGAACAATAAAAGCTAGACTTTGGGAATGTTGAGTGCCTAATGAATATAGAATTGAGTATGTATCAGAGAGTGAAGTGATCCTACTGTGGGTAGGGCTCAGACCTTACCAGGCTGACCAGGGTTATGACCTGGACAGCCCATATGATCTGAGCACATTCAGTAGTGGTTCAACATCCCCCACCATCAAAAAAGAATTTTTAAGTATGTGCTTCAAAAAGAAATGGTTTTGTTTGATGTGAGTTTTTAATATTCTGTTGTTTGCCCAGAGTTTGTGTTTCACAGCAAAAGTATCAGTGTGAGCTAGTTACAAAAATTCCCAGAGTTTTTATATCATGCCATCAATAGAGCACAAAACTATTTGTATGGCACACAGGGGTAAACTGACCGAAGATGCTAGTGCACTTGCCTCAGGGGCGTAGTAGCCCTCAGTCCTGTGGTTGCCCTGAGAGCAGAGAAAATTGCTGGCTGGGAAATGTGCTCAAACACACCTGTTGGGCAAACAGTTTTGGAGATTTCCCCAGATATAGAATGAGCACGAAGTTTGTGTGGGTCACTTCGTTTCGTAGAAGGGCTATCTTTGCTGATGTGTTGTCTTTCTGTCTGAGATCAAAGGACGGACTATTCGAATGGATCATGTGTCTAACTATAGGGCTCCTAAGGACTCAGATGAATTGGATGATGTGACCAGATTGCTTCAGGAGAAGGGTTGTGGGGCACACAAGCCTCCAAAATTTTCAGATGAGGACTCTGAGGATGACAGGCCCACAAAAAAAAAAACGCAAAAAAGGTAAAGTGTTATGACCAAAACTGATTCCAGGTGGTCTTAACTTTTTTGATGGATAAAGCTGTTTATTTAACGGTAGAAAGGTAAGTTTATTTTCTAATAGAAAGAAAATGTTCATATAACCAAAACTCTTAAGAAATAGTGACTTAGTAAACTTAAGTTTATGTCAAGATACAAATATAGATACTGATTATTTTTCTTTTTTCTCCTACCTGGCGATACACAGGGGTTACTCCTCGCTCTGCACTCAGGAATTACACATGGTGGTACTCGGGACCATATGGGATGCTGGGTATCGAACCCGACCCGGGAGTGTGCAAGGCAAATGCCCTACCTGCTTCGTTATTGCTTCACCCCAATACTATTTTTATTTCATCCGACTTCCCTAGAGAAAAGTAAATTTAAGGAATATCTGATGGGCATACACACTTTCTAGAAAATCTTCTAAGACATTTTCAAAGCTCATGATTTTTATATTAGAGGATGACAATTACGATACTTTGACTCTTCATCTTATAAACTTTGCTTTTTTTGCAATCTTGCCATGAATATTAATATACTATTAAAATTCAAATAATTTAACTGGATGATAATAGTGCAGCGAGTGAGTAGCGTGTTTGATTTATACACAGCCAACCCGGGTTTGAACTCTTGCATACTGTATGGTCCTCCAAGCATCACCACCCCAACTTCAAGTTAGTTTTGGGGGGTGGGAGTCACACCTGATGGTGCTTTGGCTTACTCCTGGTTCTGCATTTGATCTCGTGTATTTAGAAAATAGGAACTTTTGTGGGAGAGTTGTATATTTTTTCATTTCCTATTTGTTGCTTTCGTCCATTTTTTTTTATCTCCAGACAAAAAGGAAAAAAAGTAAATGAAGAAAAGCGGGAGGTACAGCACGATGCACCAGTCTCCTCTTCATCACCCAGAAGCAAGATGCTAAAGGAAAACAATTCCCCCGACTGTAAAAAGTTCAACAACAAGAACTCAAAAAAGGTTCAGAAGTCAGAATTCAGGGAGGGGCTGAAGCAGTACCACACCTCCCTTGAGGTCAGGACAGCCTACCACTCCTGAACAGAGGCCGGAGCAGAGACAGGGAGCCAAAGAAGAAGAAGCCCAAACAGGAACACAGGTCCTTAAGTAGGAGAGAGGAAAGGGAAGAAAAGAACAGGGATAGGGACAGAGATCAAAGGTCAGATACCCAGATTGGCTGGCAGGCACAAGGAGCATTCTAAATGGCATGGTCCTAAGAGTAGGAGTAGGAGCAATGATATATCCCACAGGTATCAAATCCTGGCACTCTCGGAACTGGGGATCTCCCAATTCCAGAGATTACAGGCATCACTAAGACTGCAGCCGATTGAGTTGCTTGGTAGAATTGCACATGAAATGGTGTGTTCTTGTGTGTGTGTATGTTTCTGTGTGTATGTTGGGTCCCACCAGGATGTACTCATGACTTACTCCTAGCTCTGTGCGTACGGGTCAATCCTGGCAGGGCTCAGGACTATATGAGGTTCTGGGGACAGAACATAGGACAGCTGCCTGGAAAAGAATCACCCTGTCCACCGAAGTGTCTGTCTGGCCCCAGATTTGAACTATTATAAGAAGCATTTTTTAAAAATCAAAACCAATTATATCTCACTTTTGATATGTAAAATCTTTTGGAGGTCAATGATTTTATTCCCGTGTACATTAATCCTTGAGGGATATATACTCTCTAAAGTCTGATGCCCTTACTTCTTTTGGGCGCGGGTGGTCAGGTAACACCTGGCGATTCTTCTGGATTCCTCCTGGCTCTGCACTCAGTTATTACTATCGGCAGTGCTTGGAAGACGATATTGGATGCCAAGGAGATTGAACACAGGTTAGCTATGTGCAGTTCACACGCCTGACCTGCTTTTTCATCTCTCCATTGCCTCATGTTCTTAATTTTTAAGCGCAGTTTATTATCCTTGGGAATATATTTGATACCAATCAGATTACATGTGGTAAATTGGTTCATATATAGATCCAAGAACCTAACCCCCCCAAGAACGATGAGAAATATTTAAGAAATAGGAAAACATTAGTTCTTGAATTTTCATCTGTGTTGGATGACTTTCCATTTGGCAGATAAAACCGATAGAGATGTGTGACTTAATTCGGTTTAAGTAGCGTGACATAGATACAGTAATGAAGCTGTTAGTCTGTTCTGTTTATTTTGAGATGTGTCTTTTCCTGAACCATTTTTTTGGTTGATACTTTTCCACATATGTTCCTTGGCATTTATTTTTATCGAGAAATTGACACAACAAAATTCACCTCATACAGAAATGTACTTTTTCAAAATTGCCTTAAAATTGTTTTGAAGTATTGTGAAGGTTCTGCTGTTAACTTCAGACCTTTATATATGTATAATTGTCACAACATCCACCACCAAGCTTTGGTTGCTATCCCACCACCAAAAAGACCATGCTGGTTCCTTGCTCTACCAACTCCATCTCTCTGAGAGTCACCATTGTATTCCTTCGGTCTAGCAAGTTTGTTATTTTCTTTCACTTTTAATATTTTAGTGAAGCAGGAGAGTTAATATAATTGTTTTTTTGGGGGTGGAGGTGGGGTCAGACCCGGTAGAAACTCAGGGGTTGCTGCTAGCTCTACACTCAGTAATTACTCGTAGCTGTACTTGGGGGACCACATGGGATGCTGGGGATAGAATGCGGGTTGGCTCTGTGTAGGCACATGCTCTCCTCACTGTACTATTGTCCAAGCCCTTAAGCAAATTAGTTTGAAAACTTGAAAAGCTGTGACGGTAGAGAAAGGAAGAAATGTGTGTTCGGGAGAGAGCACTGGATACTCCAGAGTAGAAAAAGGTAAATAAAGAACATAGAGGCAAGTGATATGCATGTTTAAGTGAGTACATGGACTTAAAGAGCAAGCCCATTTTGTTAGTTCTTTCGGGTGTACTTTCTTTAGTAATGCATGCTCCAAATGAGTAAATAGTGATGATTGTCTTTCACTTCCAGACTTAGCTCATGGTCTATTTCAGTTTGTCCAGAATAACATTTCATCTTTAAAAATGGCAGAATAGTATTCTAGAGTCAGTATGCCCTTGCTTATTTAGCCAGTCATATGTGGATGGGCATTTAGGTGAATTCCTATGTTTCACCTATCACGAATCTGCTATGATCAAATCGGGTTATAAATGTCTCTAGATGGGTATTTTTCATGTCAGATAAATGCCCAGAAGCGTTTTTTTTTTCAGGAGTAGTTTTGTTGTGTCACAGTCTTTCCTTTTCTTGTATTTTAGGCCATATCTTGCTCTGCTCAGGGCTTACTTCTGGCTTTGTACACAGGAATCACTCCTGACAGGTTTCGGAGAAAATATGCATTGCTGGGGACCAAATCATGGTCGCCTGCATGCAAGGCACACACCTTAATTAAATACTCTGTAAATCCTTGAGAATTAACCATTTTGTCATAGACTCACAGACTCTGACTCTGAGGGTTGATATCTGTGCTCTGAATTCAGGATTCCATGTATCTGAAAGTTCCATCATTCCTTTAAGTTTGTAAGTTTATTTAAACACTTATTTACAAAGTAGCCTGTCCCAACACTGAGAAAGCCTGTAGATTTTAGTCACAAAGACCTGCAGACCTGAACTTTCAGCAGGTTAATTTCTGGGTGAGTCCTGTTCTGAGATAGTGGAGACTGACCAGATGCATGACTGCGATTTTGCAGTTGGGGAGTGACCAGCAGCCGGGGCTCTGTTTGGGCGGGCCCTGGGCTGGCCCCTGAGGTCTCAGCCATGCATGGGTGATAGAAGGAGTTTTGGCAGCTGTTTGTTCTCTTTCAAGATTTTGAGTCATTGAAGCAAGAGTGATAGAAGAGCCTTCGCGGTATGGTGGGTGATTCGTGGGTATGACTGCAGAGCTTCCAGAAGTACAGGGAGGTAAGGGGAGGTAGCCCATTCCAAGTCAAGTTATCAGTCACAAAAAATTGCATACTTGAATTTTCAGCAAGTTAATTTCTCAGTACAGGTCAATCCTGAAACAACGGGTTCCACCCAGAGAGAAGGCAGTGTGGGCTGGCTTTCCCACCGTGTAGAAAGTTTTCTTGCATTCACAGGGTTTCTCTCCTTTGTGAATCTTCTCAAGTTCAGTGAGGTTTCATTTCAATGGAAAATCTTTGCCTACATTTCATGCTCTAAGGGTCTGTCTCCTTTGTAAGGTATTTTGTGTATCGGGTGAACTTATTTGTTGTAAAAAGTTTTCATCCACACTTTACATTCATATCGTTTCTCTCCTGCACGAATTATGTTGAGTGAGGTACAATTCTATCAAAAAGGTTTTCTTACATTCTTTGCAATAAACAGTGTTTTTCACGTGTATGAATTCTATATTGTTTAATGAGATATGATTATAATGAGAACGTTTTCCTGTTTACTTTCCATTCACAGGTTTTCTCTCCATGAATTTCACTCCTATTCAGTGAGGTATGATGTTTTTTTTTTGCTACTTGAGTCACACCTGGCGATGCACAGGGGTTACTCCTGGCTCTGCACTCAGGAATTACGCCTGGCGGTGCTCAGGAGACCATATGGAATGCTGGGAATGCCTTATCTGTTGTGCTATTGCTCCAACCCAATGCGAGGTATGATTTAAAAGGAAAGTTTTCCTACTTGCGTAGGGTCTCCTCTCATGGTTAGTGAGGTTTGATTTCAATGAGAATGTTTCCCTACATTTACAGGGTTTCTCTCGTGTGAATCCTGTTATGTTCAGTCAGTAATGACTTAATGGAGAAAGATTTCTTCCTGCATTCACTGCATTGGTAGGGTTTATCGCATGTGAATTCTTATGTTTAATCAGACATGACTTACAAGAGAAAGATCTTGAGCATTCAGTACATGAATTAGGTTTCTCTCTTGTTTGAGTTCTCATGTTGAATGAGAGAGGATTTCACTGTGAATGTTTTCCTACATTGTATATGTACATAGGGTTTCTCTCCTGTGTGAAATCTTTCATGTTGAATTAGATCTGGCTTCCTTGAGAAAGTTTTTCTACATTGTTTTTATTTGTGTTTCTCTCCTGAGAGACTCTGTTTTGAGTTATCTCTCATCCATGGCTCTACTCCTTGTTTTATTTTTATTTTTTCATGGCTCTACTCTTTCTTCAACTTGATGATTGCTTCAGGTGTGATGACAGAATGTCCCAATGATTCCAGGTCCTGTAGTTTTCCAGTGTCACCTCACTGAACGGGGTCCTCTGTTCATCAGCCAGGAACTGTCATTCTTTCCATGTGAAGTTCACACGCTCCTCCTCAAACAGCACTGTCCCCAGACGTGATTTCATTGGGAAAGCACTAGCATCAGAGGACATGAGTATGTATGGGATGGAGGGCTCCTGAGGTACAGAAGGAATGGTCTTGTGTTTTAGTTGTTTTGTTTTGTTTTGTTTTGTTTTGTTTTGTTTTGTTTTGGGACCACACCTAGCGATGCTCATTCATTATTCCTGGGTCTAAACTCAGGACTTAATCCTGGCAGAACTTGAGGAACCATATTAGATGCTGTGGATAGAAGGTGGATTCAAGAAGTAAAAGGCAAATGTCCTACTCACTATTTAGTGCTCTTGCCCAGTGTTCTGGTAGTTCTAAGAAAAATCATAAGCCAATTCTTGTCCACAGTCTGAAATCATATTTTGGGTGGTCTTGCCATTCCTGGATGCAAAATGCTTCCTGGGTTCCACAATACTCATTTCCTATTCGAGCATTCCAAAATCTTTGTTCCTGCCATCCAACCAATCAGTTTGATGTTGCAGGGGCAAACCTGGGAGTCTTTTGTGTTGGGTCCTGCTTTTCCCATGGACAGGATGCCAGGATTGTTGTGTTCCTAGATGAAATTCTCCTTATTCTGCATCTCCTTAATTTTTTACCTTTTAAAAAAAACATTTAATTGTAGCCTTTGTCTATCCAGTGCTTTGTGATGTGCCCTCCTAGGGTCTCACACCTATCCCTGCTTTCTGACAGGAGAATGCAGGAGTCTGGCCACCAAGTGAGAGTTCATCATCAACAGGCACAGTTTTAGGGGGCAATGGCGGCTTGGCCCCCATGAGGGAGACTCAGTGTACCCAGTCTTTCTGAGGTAGCAAGGAAGCTTTTTCAGTGATGTTGATGGCTTTTTAATTATTTATCTTCACATCTGGATGGCAATGGCAAATGGTGCGTATAGTTTTGGGCCTGTACCACTGCAAAGAAAAAAAATACATAGATAAATAATTTAATAGAAAATATATATACACCTGGTGTCTTTAAGACCTGTTCCGAAAGAAACTAGGCTAGGATTATTATAAACACAGAGAAAAGATATTTAC